ACGTCGCGTTTAGATGTTTGAGCGAAAAAACTAGTTTTGACCAGTTTACTTATTGTTTTCAATTGTTGTTATATACATGAAAAAAATATTAAATTGATGAGTGGTTGCTGTTATTGCTGTTATTGCTAAAAAAGCATAAAGTAAGGCGAGAATATTTCGACCGCTTAAATTTATTATTCCTATTTTTTATTATTTTTTTTATAAAATTAATACCCGAAGGGGCAAGATGGTATATGCGATACCCGATCTTGCCCCATTCGAGTCTAATTTTGTATTTTTGAAGAATGGGATGTACCTACGTGCGGAAAACCAGTAGGGTGAGTTGGTCAGAGCAGACAAATGGCACCCCGAAATTTCAATTAGAAAACCGGACAACACTTAAGCGGCAAGAGCTGCAGGACTTAATTAAATAGCTGTAGATAGATTTTTAATTTGTTAGGCTAAACCCTCGACCTCAAGAAAAATTCTCCTGACAGAATATATAACACAGTTAAGACTGGGGTATCCATAGTTCCTAAAAGTAAATATAAAATTATCTAAAAAGGGAGCTACTATCACTGTAGTGTTTAGTTTCAGTTCATTTGGGTACTACATGCTACCAATGATGCTATTTCCTCATAAAACGATGAAGCCAGAACTGATGATAAATGCTCCCCAAGGTACGTGGGGTGTTTGCAGTGAGGCAGACTGGATCACAACAAAGCTATTCATGCAGTGCATCCCCTTAGTAGTTTAGTCCATTACTTATAATCGTATTAAACTTGAGACTGTTTTTTTTTATTTTAAAACCATTTGTTTTTAGTTTCTAACTGTATTTACCGTAGCAGTTATTATTATTTTACGTACACCGTCGTGCCCTATAGGGTACCCCGTCTTACCCCAGGTATGGGGTAAGACGGGGCAAAGTGACCTTTTCGCTTTAACTATTGATTGTGAGAAAAATAATAAGCTAATTTGAGTCTATTGTTATTTATACAATAAACCGATTACCAAAGTTTGTAAAACTAAAGAAAATATGGTTATCCCTATTTAAATGTGAGTTTTATTCAGTGTCAAACCTTAACTACCCCGTCTTACCCCACCCTCCCCTATATGTAATTACCATTCCTCTAAACCAAAAAATAATGTTGTTATAGTTTTTATTTAACTTCCATACTTTGTTCTGTTTTATGTCTATATATATATTGTGTTTTTGTTGTCCTCTATTAACGAGCTATAAACCCTCACCTCCCCGTAACTATAATATTCCCCTCTCCAAGTTCCTACAATCATTTGGTCTCATAATCATCATGAAACCCCCCATTGGAGGGTAACCTTGTAATCTGGCATCACTGCTAGTCCGGCCGTGGTGTAACGTTCACTTGCAGATCCCACGCGACCGCGCTTTACCCCCCTATACCTCACGTGGCACGCGTTTTCATTCATGATACTGATTATATATTGTAGATGATACTGCGCTGTACACTTGTTGCGTCAGACGGAAGACCCGAGGAGTAGGTTAATAGAAATTGCATGAATTGTATTTTATTTTAGAATTATTTACCAAAAAACCTCAAATATATCGCCATAAGTGTCGTATCAGTGTTGAATTTAAGATAAATTTGCTATCTGCAAATGTAGATAGCAGTATTAATATAACTGGAACTTTCAAATACAATAAAATATTTATAATTAAAAAAATAGTTCATTTGATTTGTTACATTATTGTATCGAAAATTATTATTATTGTTAATAAAATTAAACATTATACTTGTGGACTCGTTGGTGTTGTCTCTATTTAATTATTCTGATATTTATTTATGTGATACAACCAAACGAGAACACGTGGTCTGGTTCTTTAAGGAATAGTCCTTAAAGAACCATGTATTCCTAAAATGTATAATCACAGACTTTTATATTAGTGCGACTCAAAGTTTTATGTTATGCTTTAACTTGGGCGATAAGGGTACAGTTGAAAATCAGCGCACACACACAGCATCGGCTTACTCCGAACCGGGTCCTTTTGCCGCATTTAATTAAGTAGGGTACTAGCGTAACTAGGTTTATTATGTAATTTCCATTACAAGCAATAAATTATTCTTATAAATTTGACATGACGGCGATTTTGTTGTGAAAACACTGAAATGAATGATCAACTAATTAATGAAGTTACTCTAAAATTTAACAGCTACATTTTGTTAATTTAAATTCGTAAAATTTATAAAGCCTACCTATTTTAGCTAGAAATCTATTCGTACCACTTATACCAATATTTTGTTTAGTTTATTAAGAACAATATTTAAATTGGAAAGGAAAAACTATTTTTTTATATTTGCAAGTGCTACCCTATATGCATAGCTGCATAGTGCATTCAACAGTAGGTTTACTTAGTACAGTATTAAGTTTTATTTTAATATATATTGTTTTATGGGTTATTATGGTTAAAGAGAATTAATCATTATTTCTCCGTGTGGAAAGTAATATCATAATAAGACTGTTGAAAACTCCACATACGTTTGTTTAAATGTAATAAAACAAAAGATGGCGTTAAAACGATCATATCTAATTATATTCAACAACAGGCACCAGAGATAGATGAAATATGTGAATAGTTTTAATTAACTTAAAAAATACTTAGATATTTACTTGTTATGTGCGTCTATGACGTGCTTTGTTAGGTATTAACAAATGCTTCCAGTAAGTCATCCTCACTTCAAGAAGATCTGCTCTTGTCTATGAGCTTTGTTACCGTTTGCTCTTCCGAATATTTGAATACTTTAAAATGCTTGTATGAAATCTTACCAGGAGATGTTTGCGAGTGTTCTATACTATTTTATTCTTATATTATTTCTATTATTTTTTATTTCCATAACATTATTTTTTTATTTTTTTTATACGTACATCATGTTTGAGGACAATACTATTTTATTACGACGTTTAATTAGGCATATAAAAGGCATTATACAAATAACAAAACGGTATTGTTAAGATAACTAACCAATATAGGTTGGGACTAATTTAATTTGTTATTGTCTAATAGTAACTACCACTAGTGCGAGATGAAATAATGACAATAAAATCTGTTTATTTTGTCTATCGTGACGAATTCACCAATTATCTATGATTATACGATATCTATGAATCGCCCCAGGGAGGAACACATTGAGGTCAACCTTATATTGCTAGAAAAGGGGCCAATAGACCCCATTACTAACGGTCCTCTCCCTCCTCCCTCCTCCCATGCGATAAGGTTTGACCTAAACGTAAATCAGAATCACACTCTAACATTGTGCTTTTGATAATATTTGGGTAACTGTAATTATAAGTATGTACAGAAAGAAAACTTGATAAACTATTATTTATATTGTCGCTTAATATAGAGAAGGTTATTCAACTGTTTAATTGTATTTGAAAAAAAATATGAACGCAAATTTTTTAGGTATTCGCAAATCAGATATTTCATTTTTTTAAATTGTTAATAATGATCATAGCAAACTTAAACTAATATATTTAATTATTTAAATGTCCAGACAGTTAATCTTATTGTTAAAAAGCTCACATTTTCTGTACCGATTGAGAAATAATAACATTCGAAAACTGTAACTAAATAGATGTGATGTGTCAAAACTTGTTGGATGAGTTTGTTGAAAATGTAATTTTCTGATGTAATACGAGTATTTGTATTAAAGACTCAAATTACCAAAAAATAAATGAACTCTATATTAAAAGTATTACAGAGGACTGTATATATATAAATATACGTTCAATATGATTACTAACTGGTCTGGTTTGTAAAACCAACTTAATTTGGTGTGTACGTACCCCGTAAAAGTTTCCTGCTAATCATTACTTAAATTACATTACATTACGTTGGTACATAGAATACGCAAGGAATTATTTTATAAGTTCCTTGAAAGCAGTTGTAAAAATAGTACATACATTACGCACAATATAGTACGTTTTTTCTCAACTCAGCTTTTTGAGCTCCTTCGAATACAAAAGAATTCTGAATATTATCTTTCTAGTGGACAGAATTTACTCCCATGTGGAGTAAGTTTATCACATAATAAGTTTAAAAGAAATGGATTATTTTTTGTAGAATCGTTTAATTCTAATGTCTTACCTATATGTAGTTGACGTCTTTAGGTTGTTTTAATACCTATATTATTCTCTTGATAACCGAATAAATTGACCTCCTTGGTATGGCAGTCTTTTACTATTTTATTACAATTAATTACTATTACTATATTGCCGTTTTTTATGAAATAAAACATACTTATGAACTGTATTAAGCTCTTTCGATTACACGTAGACATAGCTATAACTACCTACACAAGTAACAGGTCACGTATGGTTTACCAATGAGACTATTCCCCTAAGTGTACTAGCAAACTCACGTGATGAAAGAAGAATTGACAAAAAATACTATTAATATTATTAGTACAATATCTAAGGATTTTTTTCATTCTGAGATGGCCAGGAATTTGTTCCATTGCAGATTCGGTATACGAATAGCAAATAGTGCATATTAATCATATTTGCTAACAACTGGGGGCAGGCGTAATTGTACTCATTGTCTTGGATTCAGAATTTGAATAATGCTATAAATAACTAATAATATTAATTCTGCCGCCAACAATTTGGTATGCAAACTGTGTTCGGGTTTAAAGGGAGTTTTCACTGTGAAATGACACGGTTCGGGTCCCAATAACTTAGTCCCCAGATAGGCGCTGTCGAGATTCAACAGGCAAAATAAATGCAAAATTCTTCAAAATATTTTGTGTACTATTTTAGTGTCGTTCTTATTCATGGCTATATTTGTTTTTATTTCAAGTGTATAATAAACTATTTAGTCATGCAATAATACTTGTAACGAGTATAAAATAATACATTTTGTCTAATTACTTTTTTGTTAAGTCTTTTACAAAGAAGAGTAATAGTGAAAGTAGCAATTATGTGGAAATGAAACAATAACATATCTAGATAACAATATATTTTTTGTCATCAATGACAAACTTAACAACAGACTACAACATAGATCTTCTCAACGAAACACCTGCGCCAAGTTTAAACTTTGCGATAGATATAATTTTATTCCTTTGAAATGTTTACCAACACATCGAACGCTATCTACGGCCAATTATATATATATATACATAAGAAAGTATTTAAAAGTCATTTAACCACACACCTTTACAATGAAAATCAACTAAATCCAAAAATAATTGGACGGCTTAGAATAATTAGGATAATATCGTGCTCCTGATGTTATGGGCTATAAAAATTCAGGCTGTTGGTAAACAAATCGTTGCAGTGTTAAGTGTCAAATGATGCAAATTGTATTTATGTTGCGTTGTTCATTATAATTTTGTTGTATCTATATTAAAATAATTCTTAATCCCTACGCGTAAAATTGCTTTTGGTTTAACGTGTTTAATACGTAAATGATGAATTGACTCAAATAGAGGCAGGACTGTTCGTCGTACCTTGCTTTAAATATATAATTACTTATTCACTTAAATATAACAATCATACAAACTTATTGGTAAGGTTAAATATAATTAGGTGTAAGTTAAAATTAACTATAATTACTCGTACAAAATATATAGATGTCTCAGTGCATACATAGGTACTTTGCTCATTTCATTTTTATATGATTATATAGTGTCACTTATATAATTTTAAACAGGTAAAATTTTAAGTTCTTCACAGGCGGATGTTATCGTATCGGTTTATTGTTAAAACATTGTACAGGATTAAATTAAATTACAAAAACGATAATTACGGTACATTGACTTAATATGAAAATATAAATAATTTGGTTCATTATAATAATTGTGTAATCGAATTACAAATTTAAAATTCATTTGCAATGCATCAAGTTCTAATAAATCACAAAGCATAGGTACTCATTTCAGTTACTCTAATTATAATAAAATGTACAGAAGCGCCTTTTCATCGTTTTCAATGATCTGTTGTGTTTATAAGATAATTTGTACTCGTATTTACGTGACGATGTTATCAATTTATATTTTGACAAATCATTGAAACTGATGCAATAGAATAATATCACTGTTATTGTAGATAGATCCTAATCAAAAGCATTTATATGTTAATGCCATTGTTCGACTCTTTCATACTGTACACGCAATTGTAAAATGCTTTTGGCACTAACTTCGATAAATATTTAAAGTAGTATTATAATAATATATTACAAGACTGAAATTTGATATTTACAGCTTATGAATATAGATATATATTTACAACGGTCACATGTTCAGATATCTGAAATATAATGAATGAGGTATTATAATATCGTTACATTTTATACATGTGTTACAATTACAACAGTTGGAACGTGTACAATATCTACAATGTAAGTTACAAAGTTAAAAGCAGTAGCAACATTCACATTTATATATCGGGGAGTACTTTAAGATCGGATATTTTACATTACTCATTATACATTTAACTCATTATACATGGATGACATTAGCTATATATTGCAATACACAAATTGTAAAGCCGCAAGATGGCCTATAATATCGACGCAACAGATATAGATAGAGGTTTTATAAGCACTACGCATGTCCATTTATTTTGCATGATGTATGATGTATGTTTCCAATTAGCTTTTTCCATATAAATTATATGTAACAACTGCGAGTTGAAATTTAATAAGTGTAAATTACTACCCATAGTGTCGAAGTAAAAAAAATTGACATGCAAAGTTCATACAGCTGTAACATCTATCTATATTCGTGATCGACGTCAATATTGTTTACTGATTCTAACATCTAAAGAAATATTTGATTATATTGCACACATTCACTTACAATCTACGTATGTATATAAATAAATGAGTGGGCAAAGATCCCTCTCCGCCATAATTTCGTAAACTCACCGCTTATCTACCTGATGGAATGACATGAGACGCGCCATTCATATAGCGTCGCTAAGCAAACTGAAATTACTGTGGAGTTTACAAATACTGGTCGATACTATACCTTTATTTATAAAGAAAGTAGTATCAACCCTGTGATGTAACATAATGAATCATTACAAAAATAAAAACCAATGTTGGAATAAGCCTACAGTATGACGCAATTCATAATAATCTGAATCATATCTTAAAACAGAATTTAGACATTATGCATAGATAATGGATCGTGACTCTTTTAATCAAAATAAATGTTTAAAATATAATAATTTATAATACAGCTTGCTTAGGAGCGCGTCGCGTGCTGCAAGCTCTGCTCTACTGATGAGAATGATGGGGCGCTACTAAATTTTGCACTATCTACCACCGGTACAACGACGGCGACGATGTGGGATGAGATGACGTTGTACGCTGTACTCTATGCAAACCCTCCCAATGCAACGTTGATGGCACATGGATGACTTTCGCGGGTGAACTCCTTGCATGGGTGCTAGGAACGCGCTGATGACAAGCTCTAATCGTACGCTAGTGAAAACTACTGATGGGAACATGAACTGTCAAATCAAAACTTTACTGAATTATGATCTCTTTTCATAGCACCATTGCCAATTGAATATTAGCACGACTCGTATTGAAAATGAACATCGTAAGATCTATGTTATCGTCACTTCTTTACATATCTAGTACTATTAAAAATTGTTACGGATTGAATTGATCGAGACTACCTTGAGAATTTTACTCATAATGAAGTGATTTTTTAAAACTTATCAGTATAATTGGTAAAAGTAGGAGATTTTCTTTATAAAATTCAGTCGCTGACTACTGTTAAAATTTGGTTTAATCTCTACATTCTAGAAAACAATTTACAAAACTGTCGTTCATAACTACCCGAAGTGTCCCGTTAGAAATTTGGGACGCATTTTTATGAAAGTCTTTCTAGCCACACGGGCAGTTTGCATCGTAACTAATATTTTAATATATTGGACAATTCGTCGAGATGTAAATTTGCCTCCCTTGTGCCATTAATTTTGTATAGCCTACTATATTACCTGCATGGTATCGCCATTTTATTCTCATGTCAGCCGGTTGCAACGTCAGGTAGGTTATTATATTTCGTACGTCAAGATTCGTCACCTACACAGTGGTTAGTTCTCTGTAGAGCGAGACGCGCCTTCATGAATCTTGCGAATCCACACACCACTATCTCCGAGGATGCAACATGAGGATGTCCAACAACATAACACCACACCTCACGTGGAAAATATATGAAAAGCAAAATTCCATTGATTCTGCCTTATTATATAATAAACATTAAAACCGGTTGTAATTTAGTGCAGCTCATAACATTTCAAAACAGAAACGGTCCTAATTATAATGTTTATAAACTTAATACGTTATCAATGTCTCTTATATTTAATTTTACTTTTTGAAAAAAGAATAATTAATCAAAATAGACGTCGTTCTCTTTTTTTCAAGTCAGTTGAAACGAGATTCCGTTATCTGCACTACACATGGTACATACTTTAATTTGAGCGTTAGTTTCGCGTCATATTATACAATCCGATTATGTAATTTCATGCGAAATACAGTTATTTTTATGTGAAAGGTTCGGTTCTCGCAAATATCCACGTGTGGTGCAATGCATCGCAGTCGAGCTTAAATTGAACATTTAATTCAATGTAGTAAAATGAACTCGAAGCGTATGTTTGCAAAATGCAAAACAAGTGCAAGGATTTTTGAATTACCTATGTGTAAACTATGTGTATTAACAGGTTATCAGATGAATTTAATTTAAGTATCGTATATAGTTGCGATATGGTCAGGTCTATAAAATAAGTCTTGTTGGAAATCGCTTGAAAGAAGTTAAACCTTCACCTAGTTTGCTAGTCACCAGCTGTGTATGTATGTTTAAAGTTTGGAGTGGCAATATGTATTGTTCAAAAAGCATCATGATTTAATCATTCGATCTGGTATTTTACTACAATGAATTAAAATTGGCAATTAGTCGGACATTAGGCTGATATTAGTTGCCTATAGTCGAAGAGTGGGGGTGTGGTGGCTACAAGGCTCAATGGGACGCATTTAGAAGAGCATGTGGCAGCGCAGGTTGGAGTTGGCTATTCCGTGGTGTGCGCGGTGAGGTCGACCCCCGGCGTCGCGCTGCCCAGCGCGGCCGGTGGGTCGCTGGCGGGGAGGGAGAGTAGATGTTAGGCCTCCAGGAAAATGAGCGCGGTCGGCTTTGGTTCCAGGTTCGATTTCTTCGCCTCCACAACGAGGAACTCGATCTCCTGCAAACAATGATCTCGGTAACTTATTTGATTATTTCGTTTTAACTTATCGGTTATATTTTTGGTTGTTAATTTTCAAATTAACTATTATAAAACATTACATTATACAATAAAAAAAGAAGTAGAGTCTCAGTTATATCCGTCACATTAAATAATAATGGTACACTGAAAAAAATTTAAAAGGTGACTACTATACTTTAGGGAATTGCGAATATAGTCATTGTCAACAACACGAAAATGTAAACTCCACCTATGATCAAAATCCGTAATTCCTGTTGCCAACCCAATACAATCCTAGAATTTGCAACCATTGTCTATGGCGACGACGAGACAATCATAATATCCAAATTAAGAAAAATAAATCAATATAATAATTGAAATGTCATATTAATGAATTCGTCTTATAATATATAATATAAACAGACTATAACACCAAAATTGTGTATTTATAGAGAAGAAAGTAACGACTGCATCTATGATATATTTCACTTACATATTTTTCTATATTTTATAATTTAAGTTCATGTAATTTGCGATACACAAGAAGTCTTACTGGCTTATCTCTTTGTGCGAAGGACTCCGCTATTAACCGCGCTACGTCCTGATGTTGCATGCCTTCCACCCGATGTCCGTCCACAGCCAGGATAAGTTGACCCACTTCTAGTCCACCAGCTTCATAAGCAGCTCCGTGCTCCTAACAGTACAAATTAGATAATCTACAGTGTTCAAACCAGGTCGCTAGGGATTTCTTAATATCACAGCGGTATGTTAATAACTGCCCCCTTAATGTTATAATAATTGTTATTTTTTAAAATGTAAGTAATAAACAAAAATGCGCTAGCCTATAATATTTTAAACTTATCCACTAGCGATATTGTTACAGGCATCTATCTATCATATTCAAGAAACCTACGTCTTTTTTGACAAGATGTACAACCAAGCGATGCCATATACTCGTAACTCTAATTCTTAGCAGTTGGGCCTTCTCTCTATTTTTCCTGACATGTTTTTTTGTTAGGAACACAATAAATACTAATATTTTCAGAACTCTGTACCCAAAAGCAAAATAAACCGATTAGTTATTGTATAATGGAACTGTTTTAAAAAATATATTAGATTAAATGAATTTTTGAATATCTAACTTACATGGATGTTTATTATCCTGGGTAGTGGATGCTTTGTGTTAGCACCTCCCTCGATAGCTATACCGAGTATGGGTTTAGTTTTTTTGACACTGATATGCAGATTGCCGTGGTGGTCGTGTACTACGCGCGCTGCTCTACCCTCGTCTAATTGTGTTTCGCCATGCTGCAACCGCTGCATCGACTGGTGTCTGCGAATACCCCCTCTATCCTCTAGAAGCGCACCTCCTTCTTCTTTCATGTCGAAGCTTCTCGATAACTTGTGTGCCAATTCCTATAAGTACAGACGAATATTTGAAAATTATTATACGGGCAGATACATAGCGTATCCGAAGAAGTAAAAATATTTACACTTATTTATTGTACTTATAGAATTAATTAAACTATATTGTATGACCCTAAATCCTAACTACTAGATAAACCACATCCATACTAAAACTGTAATGCTACGATTCTAACAGCAAATTCAATTCAGCCTCTAAATATGTATAACTTAGTGCTCTAAAATTAACTTTCGGTAATGTGTAGCTGGGTGGCAGAGGGCAGTAGATAACTCTGTGTGTAGTAATTCCTTATCCTGGAGTTGGTACGTAATTGATCGGAACTTTTGTGGTGAATGAGCTGTCGATTTACGACCTTGTGCCTCTCAGTTACATAAATGTCAGAGTGATTGGTATACGTCGAATGTATCGAGAAGCTGTAAGTGAGATGTGTGCTGGAGGCTTAGAATCATGCGGTTCGATCACTCGGTGGCGTGGTTCAAAGTGGATTTATTTTACAAGTGTAAAAAATGTTCATGAAGAGAGTCGTTATCCCATTTTAGTAAGTACCTCTGTAAATACTGAACTGATTAACGAAAAAATTATGATAATGAAGCAACAAAAAAATTGAAATAAAACGGTTGCTTCTTATACTAAGAAATAATAGTATACGATAAAAAATAAAAAATATTTCTTATGAAAAAGTAAAATTACAAATCTTATGAAATGAATGCGTTTACGCCACCATGCGGTTATTTAACTCTAAAAATAGGATGAATACTTTTTTATTATTGCAAATATGAAAGGAAATTATAAAATAATTTTGACTAACATCCAGACACTATTTTCTTCAATAAATTGCAAGTAATTATACAATTTATACCTACTAAGTTTTTCATGCAGCAATTAAATTAGCTCAATCCATTCAATACAATAGAAATACTTCTACATACTAATGATGTTACCGAAACAAAAAAAAAGAGTAAATCGGTGTTGAAGGTACACCACTACAATTAAATAAAACATATGATCAAAATAAAACTTAACGCGTCAAATTAACACCGAAACGAAAGTGCAATGAGAGAGAAGTGAAAACATATACCTAAGTAAAGTATTGATCTAACACCAAGCAAAAATTTTGTTTTAGAAGCGAGAATATCCAATAAAACTTTAAGATCTCATTGTAATAATATCGTGCAAATGTAAGAATTGTCATTGTGCTAAGATATTTCGCTGATCGTTCCGCCGGCGATAGGCCGGGCCACTTACTAGAGGTCTTCCCCAGTACCATGATTTAACTTTCTGCGTCCAGCCACCGAGTGATGAGCGCAGCCCCTCGAGATAGCCGCACTGAAACATCACACTCACTCAGGACCAGAGGCTCACCGGTCAACGCGAACAGACTCTATTCCACGCGTCAGCGACACGATGCCTAATGTCTGATGATGATGGTGCCTGCGCCCCAAGCAATCTCGCGACCCAGTGTTTATTGTTAATGTTCAATGTCACAATTACTAGGTAAGCGACTATAACTATAATAGAACGCTATGTGGATTAACTCAGCCCTACTGAGACATCAGTCCGGTTTCACCAATGAAGGTAAGTAAGTACTAACTACAAAACATGATCACAATTCATTTTTCCATAATAAATAGGAACAGCAATACAAACAGTTATATAGATATATGTTTAATCGTACAAAGTCATACGGATAGCACACTACAGTTTCTAGCTATATTTCTACGTATCATTACCAAATATAAACAAGTTTATATATTTGCGAAGCCTTAATTAGAATTTATTACTAACCCCAATTCATTTAATTTGTTAATTCTATCAACTTTGAACACTCTTTCAAAATCATGATGATTAAAACATTGTCCAAAACTTTATAATTTTATACTTATTACTAATATATACATACCTGATCCTAAAATGTGTATTATTTGGATTGCATGAAACAAAAGAAAATTATCTTAAATTAACAGAGGTACTAGATGGTAGCTGTATTATATTGCCTTTATAGGCAAGTAAAATAGTCGAATACCTAGAATACAACATTGTTTTTATTAGAACGATGATGTTACAACCTAATGCTACCCTATCGCAACGCAGGCACAGTGTGACTACTTTCAAGTCATGCAACAATTTCTGCCCTATTGTGTTTTCATTGTTTGTCTCGTCGCGTTACTTTCCACCAATTGTACTGTCTGTTTCGGCCCTGTCAACAAATTTGGCGTTTCTTCATAGAAAAATACGACCATTATTCTGTAAAGAAAAACTTCTTTGTTTATTTCTGTAAGGGAAGTGCAGATTTCGTTCGTCACGTAACCTCATTGTTTGGAGGCTCCGTTTTGGGACGTTTCACGTAAGCAGTCTTTGCAATGTCATAACGAGATTATTTCGTACTATTTACAGCTATCTAAAAGACTATCTAGAGCTATAGACGGTAACTCGGTGCGTCTCGTTAGCGTGTTCAATAAATAACGAGATAACATCAAATGATGTCGCTCGACACGTGCCTGCTCCCGATGCTGTATACAGTGTACAGCGTCCTTCGATACGAACAAGTAAGTAATACGGATATTTCTTTCGATATCAGTATCGTAATCTATAGAAGTAAAATCTACACATTTAAAAATGTGCGCAAACTTTGTTTGCTCTCCTATCGTATCGTATATTTCATACTGCATCAAATATTAAATCCACAGACTTCCATTATTTATTTTATCATAGAACATAACAATATTTTTGAAGGAGCTACTCAAAAGTTGAGGTGTGTGTGTGTGTGTGTTAATTCAGTCCGTTCTATAATTGCTTAGAGATATCGTATCTTAAGTTCAGGCTTAAAAACTTCCGACAAAATTATATTTCAGTTACAAAAACATTTTAAATGTAGGTACAGACTTATACATATACCTATTAGTCACATATAGTCTTCCATCAGTATAATATGCTCATGGTAGCCAATATAAATATACGCACCTATCATGTAGAGCCCGTTACAAGAGTGGTTTTTGCAGAGTGACAAGTTGAAAGTTTTTAGGACGTGACTTGTACGGCACTTTTGACGCTGAGCTATTAACGTAATACTTTAATATTTTTTTATATACACACAAGTATATATGTGTCAATATCAGTGATCTAGCGACTTCCTAAGGTCACAGATTCGATTCTCATACGATACAAACATTTGCATTCATAAGTATGATTGTGTATATAAGTCTAGATGTCTTTCTGTATAAATATATTTTATGTAGGTATATTACAAGAAAATATTTAGAGATTTCTGTCAGTTGTTTACTACCGATCTGCTTATTTTGGTTAGATAGTATGGTATTAACTGTTCTGAGTTAGTACCGAAATAACAATAATTTTATATAGTAATAATTCTATGATTACGTACTATATATTAGAATTATGTACACTAGAAACTTAAAAATCCTGCGTTATGTACTCTTATGAAGAATGGAGGATATTCCTTCTCGTTTTAGTATTTTTTACACATACTTGAAAAAAGATAATAGCATTATGCACTCTTCTTCTATAAGTGTACATTTTGTATGGAAGAGTATCCGCGCAATTTTCGTAAAGAGGTACAAAGTTTTTGGTTTAAGTATTAATATAATGAGAAGTTCCAATTTTATAAATCATAGCAGAATACAGTTAAGTCATCTAAATAATATTCATTCATACAAATTTATACCTACAACACAAATAGAATATTTCATTATTTTATCTTATCTTTATTATCTCATCATAAAAACAATTTTTTTTTTATCAAAATATAATAGGTATATTCTCTAAAAAACACAAACTGCACAATGGAAAGAATAAAAAAAATGATAGTTTTAATTATACTCTAAGGCACATTTTATTATTTAGCAAATTATTCTGAGTTATTATATTAACTTTGTTATATGTTGTATTACCGTTTTTGGTATGATTAAATGACGCATTGTCTGTATTTCGGAATTTCGGCTCCATTCTCTACTGTACTGTACTCTGTTAATCCAAAGGTACTGTTATTTATAAGTGGGAAAGTTATATCTCAAACTTCCATTTACCGAAACTGCCAAATAACGTTAACTCACTACCTATACAATACGCAGTCAATTATAAATGATAGGTACTCACGATGTTTATCTGCGTACCACATCTGTAAAGCCGTTATTTTGCTATTTGAATAACAGTTGAAAATAATATATTTTATTTCTACGAGTAAGTAATAAATTAGGAAATAAAGGAAAATGTTTATACTAAATTTTACAAAAACCTATAGGTTTCATTAAATTATGTAACACATCATATTTGCATTTTTTTTTATTATGCTATATTAATTAATTATATTATTAATATTAATTTCATGTCTTCAAAGAATTAAATTTTAATTCACAACTTTAACCGCAATATTGACGAAATCGTAACAAAAACAGTTTAGAATTGGTAAAGGTATTGTAGTACATAAAATAATGTTGTGACTGGTGATAATATTGTCACAAACCAAGTTACATTTTCTTTAAGTTTTACTTTTACCAACCTCTAATAGATACATGCTTCAGTAATCGCTTTAAAGAGTCCAATGATTAAATTATCAGTTTTCATCAATGGATTATAGATCATGTACATAGAAACGATTTAATCACTGCATTGTTGAATGCTAAAGAATTGTCACGTTAATTGATAAAAGGAGAGGAAAACCTTAAATAAATAGAAATAAAAACTCTGCTAATTGCCGATACGGTAGAAGTATCTAATAAACGTAGAACTCGGTACAATAAGCTGTAATTTGTTAAAAAATAGTTTTCTATTAAATTCACACGATTTCGATTGTCTAAATCTGGAGTATGATTGAAGGAGACATGCAGCCATGCAATTGCTTTACACGCGACGCGTTTTCCTTTTATATTATACATTTTAGTGGTAAAAAACCTATAAAATATTTTTAATTACTGTATTAACTAAATATACAATGAATTTTGAATACTCAAAATCTTTTTTTATTAAAATTTAA